GAATCTGTACTAAGGTATTCGAAATGCGTTGGTTTTAGCCTGAATGCACTTGTAGTCCAAAATTGGTTGCACGATGGAAATCAGCTTTAAGGGATACAATTAGTCATTTATTGTAATAACTACAAATGCTGTGAAGCAAACCTGTCAAGAATTGCTGTATTTTTTTTTTTGGTGAAATAGGTGTTTATTCGATTTTATGTATTAATGTGTCAAAATGTCAATCTTTTAATTAATTTTGTATGCATTCTAAGGTTGCCTTAAAACCCCCACAAAATGTAGGATATAATTCTCTCTATTATGGGAATAGGGATGATGGCAACCACACCCTAAGTTACACTGGATGACCTTTTATTGCTCTTGAGACTGTGCTGGGAGACACCGCAAATCTGGCAATGGCACGTATTGATGTTCCATCCTGGTGCAGTTGGACTGCCTGTGCAACCTCTGTAGGGTCCAGGTATCACCTCATGGTACCAGTAGTGACACTGATCCTAGTCAAATGCAAAACTAGTGACAGTCAGAAAAGATGAGTAGGGTAAAAAAATGTCAGGAGCCTCCACCTGTAAAACAATTCCTGTTTGGGGGTCATCTCATTGTTGCCCATCTAGTGCACCTGTTGTTAATTTCATTAACACCAAAGCAGCTAAAACGTATTAGCAACCCCCTCTACTACTTAACTGACCAATATCCCAAGAGTTTAATTCACTTGATGCTATACTCTGATTAAAGTGTTTCGTTAATTTTTTTTTTGAGCTGTATGCATGAAACTGTCTGCCTGTAAGATCTATGGGCAGACAGCTTACACTGACGGGAGGAATCCATAAACTACCAGAATACTCGCCTGCCTTTTAGTTCTCAATGAACCCACGATGCTGTTATCTGCAAAGGATGTTGGTTCTTGTAGTTTATTCACAAAACTCTGTGAATGAATGATGTGGCTGTGTGAGGAGCCCCACATGGCCAAGTTCTTTTTAAAGTGAATACTGGTACTTGGAACTTTTCCCCGTACTGCTGTCAGAGGGCTCAGGTCCCCAAGTTGCTGCAGGAGTGGGAACATCTTGCACCCTAAAAATGGGTGGAACATTTAACATGATTTTGAAGGTGAACATGTCAGTCTCACCTGGGGGTAACTTTGCTTTTAACAAAAAGCATCCTTTCCACCCATTCCCAAAGGAAAAATGTTGAACCTCACCACCACGTGCATGATCGTAAACACATGTCATGGGTGCCTACAGAGAAAAAAAAACCCTCAATTGCTTCATGTTGCATATTGCCTTGCATGCCAGACTGTTGCACTAATAACTTGGCACTACCAACATTTTTAGTATCCAGAGTGTCTACGTAGCCATGGACTTTTTGAGGGACAGAAGCAAAAACACTGATATACGTGCAAAAAAAAAAATGTTTTGGTTTTTTTTTTGTTTTTTTTTACATTAAGATCAAGGATAAGACTACAAAAAGTCATTAAATATATTTGCCTTTAGGTTCACATAGATGTAATGCTTTCAAAGAAAAATCCATGTGTAAACTCAACACATTTTTGAGTGTCCTTCAGGCATACATGTGAAAAGAATCAATATGATGGAACTCCTTTTCTATTTTGAGTTAGAGTAAAATATCGGCTGGAATGAACATCATGCGTGGTATCTTCATCCCCTCTGGAGAAGCATGGACATGAAACAGGTAGTAGGCCACCATTTTCAAATTGTGCATTGATCAAACTTGGTAAGTATAACAAACACGTCTCAAATACAGTGTCCTAAAACAGCAGAAATTGACAGCGCACAGGTGAATGTTCATCACAAAGAGGGAAAACTTTGAGGGGTTTACAGATATCCCTGGTCAGCAATAACAGGTCTTTTAATCATCCATCTTAAGTGAAGTTGTAAATCCTATTGCCACATTGTAATCGTCTAGGTCCAAATAGCAACTGGGTTCCATCGTATTAATTCTTTTCACATATACTCCTGAGGAAGATAAATCAAAACGCGTCTAAGTTTACATGTTTTTTGTTTTTTAATCCTTACATCTGTGAACCTAAAGGCAAATATGTTTATAATGTATTTTGTAGACTTATTCTTTTAATGTTAAACAATAAAAATTTCTGCATTTATATTAGTGTTTTTCTCTACATGTTTCCCTCAAAGTCCATGGCTACATGTCGGCTCCTATCCCAACGGGAAGTGAGGTCTTTGGTAGTCATAAGGGCTCATCGCCAGAATGGCTTCCCCACTATTCCTGCAAAATTGGGTTTTGTGTGGTTTTTTTTTTTTTTTTTTTTTTTTTTTTTTTCTCTCACTGGTTATAGCTAACCAGATCTAACAGAGGGTCTAATCCACCTGATAGGGGGACAGACAGCAATAAAAACCAAGTGTTCTAGTCCTTCTCCAATGTAATATAAAACACAAAAGTAGCCTTCAGGCATATCTGAGACTTCTTTGTCCCCTGACGAGAAAATACGATTTTTGTACTTGCCATAAATATTCTTAGTTGATTATGGGACACGGGTCCCTCCCATCTATTATGCACTTGGTACTTGTTTCCTCACAACCAAGACATGTTGAGAGTAGCAGGGGTTACACAGTCTGGCTGAAAAAAGACCAAAAGTCCATCCAGTTCAACCAAAAAAAAAAAAGTTCTAAAACAATACCCACAGTTGAATCCAGAAGGAAAAAAAAAAAAAACACACCCAAAGCTATAAACAATTTGCTCCTGCATGGGGGAAAAATTCCTTCCTGTTCCCCCAGGAGGCAATCAAAATGTTAGTATCCAGTTATGTGTATCTAGGAAAGAATACAGGCCTTTTTTTTTTTTTTTTTTTTTTTTTTTTTTTTTTATTAAAGCAATATACTAGGGTTATACTAGGTTACTCAACCAGTTTATAAGCTTCCAATTCGCTTTCTATGGCACTTTCCCAGGGCTAAGGACTTTCTTGCCTATATTTTACTGCACTTGGACCTGGTAGTTGGCCACTTGAGAACCCAGAACTGCACTGGTGAAGGGGAGGTGTCATGAACTTCATGCATCAAGAAATGGTGGGTAATTATCTTTACAGGCACTCCGTATGTTGCAAGAACAAAGATAAGGTGGTGGGGGGTGAGAATAAAATTCACATGTTGCTTTGTACCTGTACTTTCCTCATGCAGGACAATTAAGTCTTGGTTAGTGGTTCCAACTATGGTTGTAGGCCCTATTTATGTTTCTGATTAACGCCCAGGGACGGTCATCCGCAGGTAATCGCTGCATAGGCGATTCATATGCGAATGGCCAGAATTGGCTGCAGGTGCTGTCGGGCTTTCACTGCTTTCAAAGAGGTGTCCTGCCCATGGTTACTTTGAGGAATACCACTTAGTATCCCAAGGGTAATCACAAATGGCCCCTTTTGCAAGTGTAAATGGGGCCTTACCCTTATGTTTAACCACTTCCCACCTGCCATATAAGGAAATGAAGGCGCAAGGCTGTTCTCTCGTTCTGGAAGGACATCATATAACATCCTCCCACTCTAACCGCGCGCGTGCGACTTCAGGGGCGTGCAGCGCGAGGATTGGTTGTGTGCTGTGTCCCTCGGACACAGCAGATCACCGATCAACAGAGCTGAAGACGTCGGCTCTGTGTCATGATCAGATGTGTCCAATCACAGCTGATCGCATGTAAATAAGGAAATGCCGATTATCGTCATCTCTCTCCTCATGAGCTGTCACGCTGACAGCTCGAGAGGAGAGACAGTAATCGGCATTCCTCAGAGGGGACATGTACACTGATCAGGGCACTGATGATCAGTGTAGCCCCAGCAATGCCAGCTGTCAGTGCCTATCAATGCCACCTGCCAGTGCCCATTTGAGCTGCCTTTCAGTGCCATCTATCAATGCTTCCAGTCAGTGCCCATCACTGCAGCTTTATTAGCGCACATCAGTAAAGGAGAAAAATCACTTATTTACAAAATTTTTACAACAAACTAAAATGTTTTTTTTTTTTTTCTCCAAAATTCTCAGTTTAACAAAAAATAAAAACCCAGACCGGATTAAATGCCACTAAAAAAAAGCTCTATCTGTCTCAAAAAGAATTATAACAGTTTCATATGGGTACAGTGTTGCATGACCGCGCAATTGTCATTCAAATTGTGACAATGCTGAAAATTGGCCTGGGCAGGAAGGGGTATAAGTGCCCTGTGGGCAAGTGGTTAAAAGCAGTTACCGTAGTTCTATTCAATGCACTAAGTTAAACTGCCCCTGGCAATCTTCGTGATCACTGTGTCCTACGAACACAGCTGATCACGTGATGTGGTAAACGGCCAATCACAGCGGCCCTTTACCACATGATCAGCCGTGTCCAATGACACGCTGATCACAGGGAAATGCAATTGCCGGTTCTTGGCTGCACTTTCCTCTCGCTGTCAAAGCGCGAGGAAAGTACTGCCGAGAACCAGCAGCTGTCAGAGCAGGGATCGGCACCGATCATTGGGGCACTGATGATCAGTGCCCTGATCATCGGCGCCCAGCAGTGCCACCCACCTGTGCCCATCAGTGCAGCTCAGCTGTGCCCCCAGTCAATGCCCAGCAGTGACGCCATTCATTGCCGCTTATCAGTGCTGACTATTCATGCCGCCTCATTAGTGCTGCCTATCAGTGCCGCCTGTCAGTGCCCATCACTGCTGCCTCATCAACGCACAACAGTGAAGGAGAAAAATTACCTGTTTGCAAAATTTTATAATAGAAACAAAGAAACTTTTTTTTTTTTTTTTTTTTGCATTTTTCTTTGTTTATCGCGCAAAAAGTAAAACACCCAGCGACAATTAAATACCACCAAAAGCAAGCTCTATTTATGAGAAAATGATAAAAATTTCATATGGGTACAATGTTGTATGACCGCACAATTGTCATTCAAAGTGGGACAGCGCTGAAAGCTGAAAATTGGCCTGGTAAGGAAGGGGGTATAAGTGCCCTGTAGGCAAGTGGTTAAAGAAACACCTTTTTATAGAAATGTTCTTCCTTTTCTCATAGATTTAATCGACGACAACGATCACAATCAAGGTCTAACAGTAGGTCTCAGTCCAAATCCCAGCCAAGAGAAGAAAGAAAAGAGAGGCAATCTGGATCTAGATCGCATTCCAGATCTAAAGCAGATGAAAAATGCAGAACAAGTTCTAGAGTCAGCAGGGAGTCCAGAAGAGAGGACCATGAAAGATCTCCATCCCACTCGGAGTCCAGATCACGGTCAAAGTCAAGATCTCGATCTTGGAATAGTCACAAATCCAGTGGTCATTAATGCTTTTACCCCTGAGCAGATTTATCCATGGAAATGTGAAGTTTTTTTTTTTGTTTTTTTAATTTGAGTTTGTTAGAGTGCTACACCTCATTTTATGTCTGACCGCAAATGATCAAAGTATTTAAGGCCATCATTCAAATTGAGCAGTTACCTTGCTAATACAAACATTCTGGTTTGTTCAGGTAGGGCCTTTTTAAAATTTTTATACAGCCTTCAAGAGTTTCTGGTCAAGTTCAAGGATTGTAGTGCCTGGAGAAGTTCATCTGTATGTTACTGAAGATGTTCTGAAGCCCCACAAGTCTGTTTGCTAGTATCACTCGAACTCTGGGGATTCTAACCTTTTCCTGCCTTGCATTTATAAAGGGAAAATGTACATTTATAGAGCTGCAAAATGAATTTAGTGTTTGGCTTTGTGTGTTGGGCATCCACATAAACTTCTTTTGTTAAACTGAAGCTCTGTATTTTACAGCAAGTTTGAGGCAGGAGGCAATTTTGCTTTGTCGTTTAAATTTTTTGAGACCAATAGTATTGATATAGATAGCTTTTTAGAATGGCGGTCTACCTTAATCTACTTTGGACACTAGCTTCAGAACATTCACTGGGCAAGGTTTCCTCTGGCTCAAAACCCTGATGACCTTTGTTGCTTGCAGGGACAAGGCAGTCAGTTTCATTTTAGCCCCCCTTCACACCCCAGCATTATATACATGCTTTGCTGTCTGGAGTAGTGAAAAAGTTGTGTAAACAACTTGTTGGAGAGTACACAGGGCTGAGAACATCCCCATGTGACAGTGCTACGCAAATTGCCATTCACCAGAACATTTTCAGGAGAGGGGGAGTGAGTCAATGTACAGTTATCCTTATATCTTTAGTCAGAAGTTTTGGAACATGGTGCCTGGTAGTTTTAAAATCACAATTAATTTTTTTTTTTTTTTTTTGCACCAAATGCGCTATGTTGTTTTGCCACCATTCTCTGACAAAACATCTAAGAGTGCCTCTGAAGAACCACTGGTGGTGGGAAATGGTGGATACTTCAGTTACAGTATGAATGGTGAAGGTCGTCGCTTATTGGCTTTGTTTTATGACTCCAAGGATGTTATTTCACTTACTGCTACTCAGTCTTGCTCCTCATGTGCATTTTACGTAGTGAACTGTTGCGTCCCCTTCTGATCCAAACAAGTAGGAACACCTGGGGGCTTATTACAGATCACTGAAAGGTCTCAAGGAGTTAACTTTTGGATTATAGCCCACAAATTTTGATATCAGTTGAAACCGTTAGCCTTGTTGGACTACCCCTACGTTCTTCAAAAGCACACTTTTTACAATCCATTAATTTCTTATGTATACTTCAGTGTATATTTATGTATGTATACATTGTAATAGTGTTTTGTCAATGAATGATTGTGGCACACTTTCTTGTCCGTCCTTTAACAATTTCTCAAAATAATGCCCTTTGACTGTCTTATGCATTTGCAGGTACTTCAGATGACCTGCGGTTTCTTGCATTGGATTTTTTCCTGTAGGCTATTAAATAGTGTGGTTACAATTTTTGTACTAAAGTGTTTTGTTTTTAAATTGGCAGTTGCTATTATTTACTATGCAATCATTATATGTGCATGTCTTAAGAGTACATTTCATGTGGAAACTACAGATTTAGCAGGCGACATGTTGAATTGAAATTTGTATTTCTTTTCTTTATAGAGGCTGACAAGATATTTTTATATGTTTTCTTTAACCAATGCTGTATTTAAAAACAATTGGTTACTTTAAAAGTCTAAATTTGTGCTTGCTGTACATTTTGGTAAATAAGCTGAAATAAACTGGGGCAATATTGGTATTATTTTTTTTTTTTTTTTTTAATTTTGTGTTTTGTTTTATTTTTTTGTTTAATTTTGGAGAGTTCTTGGATGAATGTTAACTTTTTTTTTTACAATCAGTATGTTACCTTTTTAGGTACACTGCACTAAGGGGCCTTTTGTATGTCTATTAATATTTATATAAATTTCATTTGGGTACAGTGTTGCATGGTCAAGCAATTGCCAGTTTGGTAGCACAGTGCTGAATAACAAAAGCCCTGGTCATGAAGGGGCGTAACCACTTCTGGATGTCTACTTTTGTGCGGGGGGGGGGGGATACAATTGTGACACAAGTTATTGTAATTGAATGTTGTTAAGTGACCTTTCCTTTTCACTCTGCATCGCTGTTGTTTTCCTGCAAAATCCAATACAATATGACAACCTGGAAGAATTCTGTACACAGTGTATAGAATGCCACTAGAGTTATTAGCTTACTGATTTTCTCAGAAGTCTGCACCAAAATACAACTCAGATTTTGGTCATTGCCTACAACAAAAACATTTTTGGACAGATGCTCCCAAAGTAAAATCTCATCTAAAGGGATGCAATTTTCCTCATCCAAACCCAGCAGGTGCAATTTTTTTTTGTTTTTTTTACTGTATAAAGGAAAGACAGTATTTTAACCTTTTTGCTATAAAACAAATGCCAGGACACCAAGTGGTGAAGGGGTTAATGTACAGGTCACATGCAGTAGGTGGTTGAAAATGAGGGTTGATGTGCAACATAAGGGAAGTGAGAGGATAAATATACAGGTCACTACAGACAGTATGGAGTTGAGATATACAGGAGGTGGGATGTAAAACTTAATTCCACAACCTTGAATATCAGTTACTGCTGATCTGTAAGTAATGAATTTAATCATTAACTAATGAAGGAATAATTCATTAGTTTTTCATGTCTTTTTGTTTGTTTTTTTATTCTGTAAGTATTTTTTAACCATAGCGCCAATAAATGTCTTTGGTATACTGCCCTTAGAGGCACCTTTTCCATTATCTTGTTTCTTAACAATATTTGTTTTTCCTTCCTCTGTTGTAGGGGAAGGGACTGGTTCTCCATTGTAAACTGTACACTGTTTTTTACATATGTGATCACTGTATAATTGGTTGTCAAGCAACCACAAGGTACAGAGCTGCTCAGATTGGCTATATACTTGACTTGGGAAACTGAACCATCTGACAGCTCAGTTCACATCCTTTTAAGAGGCACACAAGCTGTTTGCGGGTGGCTTCTGTAATGTCTAAATGCCACTGTAAAAGTGTTCACCACTTTGTTCAAATATGAACAGTTGTGAATAAGTGGTTAAAAACCATGCTGCACTGTAAGGCTAAATGAATCTTACTAGCTGCTTCTGTTCAATTCAGCCAGTGGATTGCTTGTCCCAGCAAACGGATCTTTGCCAGCACTACAGATTGTCGGGCAGGGTGCAAGAATAGAGCTGTACCTATGTTTACATAGGCACAGTTCTTTTGTGATAGGGGAAAGTGATGGATCCTTTGTCAGAGCAAATTTGGGAACACAATCCATCACTTCCCCTTATACCAGCACCATCTAGTGTACACCAAGCACATACCTAGGCACACACTTAACCCTTTTAACACCCTAGATGTTAACCCCTTCCCAACTAGTATTAGTACAGTGGTCAGTGCTTATTTTTAGCACTGATCACTATTCATGTTACTGGTTCCCACAAAGTGTCAGTGTAAAAATGTCTGCCACAATATCTCAGTCCCACTAAGTCTCTAATCGCCACCATTACTAGTATATATTAAAAAAAAAAAAAAAAAATCCCAGTATATGTCCCATAGTTCATGGACGCTATAACTTTTGCACAAACTAATATACGCTTATTGGGGTTTTTGTTTACTAAAAATATGTAGCAAAATACGTTTTGGCTTAGAGTTATGAAGAAATTTTTTTTTTTAATTGGATGTTTATTAGAAAATATTGGGTTTTTTTTTAAAATTGTTTTTTTTTTTCTCAATTTGTTTAACGCAAAAAGTAAAAAAACAGAGGTAATGAAGGACGAAGTGTTGCATGACCATGCAATTGGCAATTAAAAGTAATGCAGTGCTGCATTGCAAAGAATGGTCTGGTCAGGAGGGGGGGGGGGGGTTAATCTTCCGGAGGGCAAGTGCTTAAATAGCACAAGCTTATGTGCAGCTCAGGGTTTTGTTTCTTGGCTTGTTGCATCTGTTCGTACAAATATACCACCCTACATTTCAGTGAAGACCAGGATTATTTGTAAAAACACATGCATCAGATGTTAATCGTTTAACCACTTGCCACTCCGCTACAGTACATTTACTACAGTGGGGTGGCATGTGCATAAGTTGTGTGTGTATATGTCCCCCAGCCCCCCCCTCCAACAAGTCCCCACAAAATGCAACACAGAAAAATATGGCTGAAGCAAAACTACTCCTGGGGTGCACACTGGGATAAGGATGCTGGAAAACAAACCCGGCACAGATGGAGACCAACTCTAAGGTATGGTGCTGATGAAATAACAGGCATATGTGATTGAACTTAGGTGAAGGTATTGAGGGCTTATGAGAATAGGTAATATATGTGTGATATGAATAAGGCAGAGTAATTGTAGACCTCCGCAGCTGCAAGTATTTCTCTGTAATAGGGACCTACAATACTGAGCCACACTGTATCCAGGTCAAAATGAAGAAAGGATGCTGCCTGTACTGCAAGACTTTGTATCACATGCATCCAGAGGTCACCTTTAAAAATAAGCAGGTGGATGACATAGCCTCCAAAATATACAATCAACAATGAATTGCACATCCTGATAATGCTCCCTGTGTCATACAAGAAGAAAATGATCTCTCCGTCCAAGTGTGCCTGGTGTCAGTGGATAACGAGGATGCCTACTTTTTTTTTTTTTTTCCCCCAGCTTCACAGTGGAAGATTTCCATTGTGCATTTTTGTCATTGCCTTTTTGTCCTGGCCATGGCCCCAACAGTGTTTACCAAGATGTCTGGTTTTGGGTGTTGTTGAGGACTTGGCATCTCCATTGTGTGGGGTACTTGGATATCCTGCTACTTCAGAAGCAATTGGGTCAGAAAATTTGCATCAAATGCTCGGGAGAGGTTCAGCTGAGTGCTGAACCTCCGGAAGTCCACCTTGGTTCCAATGCAGTGTCTGGAGTACTGGTTTAGTAATTGACACAGTAAAGGTGCTGCCTGTTCATATGCACAGGATT